TTTCCTCCTTGGTTATGAGGGTGCTCTCCAACTTGTCTTCAGTTGTAGTTGCTTATTCAGGATGGTTTCTCTATGTTTTAGTTTTAATTCCAGTTTGGTCCCGGGAAAGTGTCAGTTTATCTTCCACTCAGTCTGCCACCATGTTTAATCTCCCTGATGTTTAGTATCTTTTTAAAAATCTAAAATTATTCTGGTTAATTTATCTCAGTACAGATTTACATATTGGAGCCTGAATAATATTGGAGGTTAAATAGTTGTAAATATTTTCTTTGCTAAAATAATTTTTTAAAAATATATATTTTATTGTTTTCACAGGACGGGAGAGGGAGGGACAGAAACATCAATGATGAGAGAGAGTTATTGATCAGCTGCCTCCTTTACCACCCCTGCTGGGGATCAAGCCTGCAATCTGAGTGTGTGCCCTAATCGGGAATCGAATTTCGATCTCCTGGATCATAGGTTGATGCTCAATTGCTGAGCCACGCCGGCTGGTCATGTAAAAGAATTCTTATTTATTTTTTATTTACTTATTTATTTGTTTATTTATTTTTAATTTGTCTTTATTGTTGAAAGTGTTACAGGTGTCCCATTTTTTCCTCCCAATTGATGCCCTTCACCTCACTCCCACCCCCTCCCCAGGCCTTCACCCCGTTATTGACTGTGTCCATGGGTTATACATATATGCATCTAACTTCTTTGGTTAATCTCTTCCCACCTTCCACCTCCCTTCCCTCTTTACTCTGAAATATGATCGTCTGTTACATGCATCTGTGTTTCTGGACCTCTTTAGTTCCTCAGATTATTTTGTTCATTAACTTCTTAAAGAAGACCCTTCAATATTCCCTGTAGCACTGGTCTGGTGGTGATGAACTCCTTTAGCTTTTTCTTATCTATGAAGCTCTTTATCTTACCTTTGGTTCTAAATGATAGCCTTGCTAGGTAGAACAATCTTGGTTGTAGTTCTATGTTTTTCATCAGTTTGAATATTTCTTGCCACTCCCTTCTGGCCTGCAAGGTTTCTGTTGAGAAAACTTCTGACAGTCGTATGAGTGCTCCCTTGTAGGTAACTAATTGCTTTTCTCTTGCTGCTTTTACGATTCTCTCTTTGTCTTTAACCTTTGGCATTTTAATTATGATGTTTCTTGCTGTGGGCCTCTTTGGGTCCCTCTAGTTTAGGACCCTCTGTGCTTCCTGGACTTGTAAGTGTATTTCTTTCCCCAGGTAAGGGAAGTTTTCTGTAATTATTTTTTCAAATAGGTTTTCAATTTCTTGGTCTCTTTCTTCTCCTTCTGGCACTCCAATAATATGAACATTGGACCTCTTGAAGTTGTCCCAGAGGCTCCTGGTGCTATCTTCACATTTCTGGATTCTTTTTTCTTTTTGCTCTTCTGGTTGGGTGTTTTTTGTTTTCTCATGTTCCAAATTGCTGATTTGCTTTTCAGCGTCCTCTTCTGTTGATTAGTCTTCATTTCAGTTCATATAGCCTTCATTTCAAATTAATACTTTATTATGTCATCGATTTTCTCAGGTATTTTCTTAATACTCTTACTAATATGGTTGAACATCCTTATAAACAAAATTCTGAACTCTGTATCTGTTAGCTTGCTTGGATCTATTTCATTTAGTTCCTCTTCTAGAGATTTCTTCTCTTCTTTCCTTTCTGACATGTTTCTTTGTCTCCACATTTTGGCTGCTTTCGGGTATTTGTTTCTATGTATTAGGTAGAGCTGCTGTGTCTCCTGGAATTTGTAGAGTGGCTTTGTTTAGTAGGTGTCCTGTAGGACCCAGTGGCTCAGCCTCCCCAGTCACCTGAGCTGGGCCTTCTAGGTCCTCCCCTGTGTGGGCTGTGTGCACTGTCCTTTTGTAGTTGAGCCTTGGTTGTTGTTGGTGTCCCTGGGAGGAATTGACTCCCACGCTATTTGGCTGTGAGGATCAGCTGCAACTACAACCAAAGAGCTGATCTAGTGGAGACACCCCTATGGAGTAGGAATTACTTCAGTGGAGCTTTGGTGATCACCAAGTGCACCCCTTGAGTGTGTCACTCGTGGATGTGTAAGGGTTGTAATCCAGCATGATCTAATCTGACCACCAGGTGCAGTGTCTCTGGGGCCTCTCGGGAGGTGCAAAGTCAGGCTCTGCCAGTGCCTTGACCAAGGCCACCTAGCATGAGCTACATAGCAAATCACAGATGGCTGCTACTTGTCCTGGGCTTGTCGTTGTCCAGGACAGGCCAAGCTGTGAACTAATGAAGGCTGCCACTGGTGTCAGGCCTGGGGCCACTTATCAAGACATATGGTGCATGATGCTGCTTCTTTGAGAGATTTTAGGAATGTCCTAAGCATGAGGCTCTTGAGGCCACTTGCACAGAAAAGCCACTGGAAATGTCTTGGATGAGCTTGCAGGTAGGGAGGGGCTGGGCCTCCGGGTATCAATAGGGTGGGGCAAAGGTGTGAGTCAGGTGCTGGCAATTCGTATATTGTGCCTGCCTGCTGGCTGTGTGGGAGGAGTGCTTATCAAAGGAGCAATGGCCTCTGCTAGCTCTTCTGCCTGGGAGAAAGCTACCCCTCCACCTCTCCCCCCAATTTCAGGCAGGTTTGTTCCTCCCCAAGTGTCCCCAGTTCCTTTGAAGCTGCTGCCCGGCACTGGGTCCCAGAGGGAGCGCATCTGAGTGAGTCTGTGTGCGGGCCCTTGAAGATGAGCTACCTGGGACTCCTGCACCCTCTGCAATCCTCAGCGACAGTCCCAGCTTGTTTTCACAGCCTGAAGTTGTGGGGATTTCTCTTCCTGGCCCTCGAGACCTGGGCTGGGGGCCTGCTGTGGTACTGGGACCTTTCACTCCTCCGGGAAACCTCCGCAGCTGAGATTCCCTCCCGGGTTTTAACTGCGGCACTGGGTATGGGCCGGAGGCCATGTCTCTGCAGTTCAGCCCAGATCCACCTGCGTCTCCGCCCCTCCTACTGATCTTGATGCTTTTACAGTTCCCTGGTTGTAGGGTTTCTGTTCAGTCAGATTTCAGGAGGTTCTGAGTGATGGTGGTTCTGTATTTTAATTGTAATTTTGGTGTGGTTGCGGGAGGCGGCGGGTCCACCTGTTACCTATGCTGTCATCTTGTTTCCAGTTCTGTAAAATAATAATATTGGTTCAATCACTTGTCTCTGTTTCTTTGTTTTTTGGGGGGACAAAATTAAGCCATTTTACTTCCCATTTGTATGCTTTTAAAACCACAAGATGTCATTGATCACATGTATACTGTATAAATAAATACCTCTATTATTGTAAATTAGACTGCATTACATTTGTTTATGTATCTGTTTCCTTTTAGTTGGTGGTCTCGTATAGTACAGCCGCTAGATATTTTTTCATCTTTTGTATTCCCAGTCTAACTTAGTATTTGGGATGCATAACAGTTTGATAGACATGCTTATTAAACCCATGCAACTCATCATTAGTGGATGGATACTATAGAGTTTTGAAGTTCTCTATATTCTGGGGGTGTTTTGTGTATGTGTGTTTTTAACCTAAATAGTTTATGCTATTCTTTGTGCTTGATTCTTTTGCAGGTGTGGAGTACATGTAAATAAGTGGAGTAATGTGGGGGAAGCATTTTCCCATAAACCCTTATATATGTCCACTAATTAAAGAAAGCACTGTTTTTTGGGTTTTTTTTTGGAAATTGAGTATGTATTATTACAGAAATATAAAGAAAAAAAAAAAAATCATCGTAATCCTAGTGACCAGGGATAACTACCCTTAACATTGTGTGTATGTTTTGTTTTTTTATAGAGTTTCAGTTACACTTAACGGGTTGTGTATCCTATTATCACATACCATAATATCATAGATTTTTAATGTTAATTTAAACCATTGAAAAGCCAGAGTATAATTTAGTGTTCTGTGCTCGTATGAGGCTTGGTGTACAAAGGCATTTTATGGAGATTGTTGAGAGCTTATTATATTCCAGTGGTTTTCTCAGTCTAAGTTGCCAACAGTAAACAAATTATATATTTATTCAATAGAATATTATGCAGCTACCAAGCATGATATTTATCAAGAAATTTAAAGGAATGCTCATAGTCCCTTGAGCAACCCCTTTCTACCTATGATTTCTACTCCTTGCAGGTAACCAATATCAACTCTTGGCAATTCTTCTGGTATTTACTTACATATGTCCTTTCTACATTCTAAGGTGGGAATTTACCCACATTCAGACACACACTTTTCCTCATTCATTTTCTCAGTATATATATTTCATAATATTTGCCTAAATCAATTTAGAGTATGATTTATTGTATCTAAATATTCACACTGAAGTAATTTGAAATACTGTGATTATTTTTCCTCCTTTGTATACCTGTTTATTTTTGTTGAAATAATAGTTTATTTTTACCACTTCCTTAGTTTCTATGAACCTGTCACTCATTCCCAAATTCTTCTACAGAAATATAAATTCTTGTGTTCTGACACAGCAGGCAATCTATCAGTTTCGTGTGGTGTTTTTTTTTCCTGGAGCTCTCTGTCTTCTTGATTCTATTTTAGCTTTCTCAGTATCTTGCACCTATCTAATTTCTTTCTTTACCTTCATTACCCCTTATTGTAATTGTGTATTAGTCACCCCCACTTAGCTCATGGGGCATTGTCCTCCTTTTACATGTACTTAGTGCTCGTGATACTACTGAACACAATATGAACTGTTGAGCTATACTTAAATTTTCTACATTTACACAGAAATCTGTAAATACCTGGAATGTATTATAAACATGTGATTTCCATATTTATCTTTATTCCTAATTCAGACTATTTCATTTTCCAGCAATAAGATTCTTTCTGGGCATATAAATTTTCAACCTGACTCTTTAGGCATGTCTTATTTTCTTCAGTGAGAAAGGAATTCTCTGAATTCCTGATTGTTCATAAAACTTAGGATTAGAAAGTCATATTGTAATTAAAATATCTGTGAAACACTCATTACTAAAGCATTCATTCTGTATTTTCATTTTCAGAGGACGATTGTTTATCATTTCCACCAAAGCAGGATCTCTCGGCATTAACCTGGTAGCTGCTAATCGAGTGATTATATTTGATGCTTCTTGGAATCCATCATATGATATCCAGAGTATATTCAGAGTTTATCGCTTTGGACAAACTAAACCTGTGTATGTATATAGGTTCTTAGCTCAGGTAGGTTTATAATTTATATTCTTATTCTTTTTTCATATTGAAATGTTGGGTGAAACTGATAATATTTTTGGAGTGCAGAACATATATGTATTAGAGAGGCAAACAAAGTTGAAAACATCATTCCTATACATAAAGCAGCAGAAGTCAATTTTGGCCTATTGTGATTTTCTGTTTTGTCGTTCTTCCATATCTATAACATCAACTTTCTCAGACTGAGATGGATTTGCATGGGTAAAGAGATTTAGCTTCTCTTTTGTTGTTAACATAATTACAGATGTCCCCCATTTCCCCCCCTTTTACCCACCTCCACCCAGCCCCCACCCTGGCCTTTACCACACTGTTATCTCTGTCCAGGGGCTATGCATATATGTTTTTTTGGCTAATCCCTTCATCTTCTTTCATCCAGGCCTCCCTATCCCCCTCCCCATAGCATTTTCTGGCTAGTTCTAGAAAGTTAAACATTTATAGTTCTTTTACTTAGCATACATAGAAAACCCAATAACTAAATCTAATTTGCTTATAGACACAAAGGTCAAATGATCATTGTTTTCAGTGGCCACCAGAGTCTCTTAATTTGAAGAATGTGAGTAAATAAGAAGAAAAAGTTAACTTATTATAATAACAAAGAATGTATAATAACAAAGGCTGTATAATAGTAAAGTAATTACCTTTAAATAAAAACTAAGGTATTAAAAAGCAGATACTGAACTTGAAGAAAAATAGTAAAATCAAAGAGGTGGACGTAGTTCAGGGTAATACAGGTTTATAGAATCAAGTTGCTCTTTTAACTGGTGCATCTGCTTTGGGAACAGATGCTACCCTTTCCACCTGCCTATAAATCTGGGTTTCTCAGCCAGAGACTGGTTTTTATTGGTAGGTTCTTGTTCATTTGATCTTCTTTGGCACATGACATAATTTGTAAATTACACTGTAAACTCTTTCATATTATTTAAATTAAGAATTCCTTTATGTTCTAGTTTAGAGTGTTAAATATTTAATAGATACGACATTTTTGCTATGTTAATTTCCTGTCCTGAAATTATAGAAAGTAAGACTTGATATAAAGACATTTTATAGTGATTACTAGGAGCTTATTATAGTCCATTGAAAAAGGAATTAAGCTGCTCTCTTGCAGTCTTACTTCAATAACCCCCTAAATTCTTATTTTGTGTACTCATTTATTTCTGTTTACCTTGATATCTGACTGCTCTCCTACTTCTGCCAACTTCAGAAATATGTAAAGCAACACATGAATCATATTAGTATGATAATAGAGAATGATTTTTGTCAAGAAAAACTACATTGAACAAATGAAATCTCTCATGAATTAAGTAGCACTGCTAATACAATTTGCTTTATGGTAGATATTACTATGACATTTTGCCATTTCATATTAACCAATAACTGTATTTTTACCTGATTAACTTTTGTGTTTACAAAATTTACTTATTTACATATTGTTCCTTCTTTTCACAAAGGGAACCATGGAAGATAAGATTTATGATCGGCAAGTAACTAAGCAGTCATTGTCCTTTAGAGTTGTTGATCAGCAGCAGGTTGAGCGTCATTTTACCATGAATGAGCTTACTGAACTTTATACCTTTGAGCCAGACTTATTAGATGATCCTAATTCAGAAAAAAAGAAGAAAAGGGATACTCCTATGCTGCCAAAGGTAAACATCTTTAGATTGCTAGCTCAAAAAAAATTAAAAAATCCAACATGGACTAAGGAAATTTTACTACTATAAAAGTTAGTTATCTGACTAAGGCTGTATTTCAGAATTTTTCAAAGAGCATAAAATTGTGTTTAAATGAAAGGGTGCATGGTTAGTTGTCCAATAACAGCACAAAAAGTGTAATCTGAAATACATATTTTAGGCCAAACAAAAAGTTCAGCCCTGCAGAAAAAGGTTTCTGGGCAGAAACCTTAAAGGAAGTACAGGGGTGGGCAAAAGTAGGTTTAAAGTTGTTTGTATGGGAAAATACAAATCAATAAATAATAATACAAGAATAAACTCTATACTTCATGTACTCACAGCTGTAAACCTACTTTTGGCCACACCTGTAGTATGGTTCTATTTTAATCGCCAGTAGAGGGCGTACATAATTTTAAAATTGTATATGAAATTTAACTGTCTTCCTTAACATTCTTTGCTGTCGTATAGCAAATAAGAATCAGCAAATAAATGTGTCTCTTACTTGATAGTTTTCACTGTCATAAAGCAAGTAAGACTTGGAAAAGGAGCTTAAAGGTAATCCAGTCAAGCCCTCTCATTTTATAAGTAGGGAAACAGGGTCAGAGACATTCTGTGATTTGCCAACAAGTTTCAGCTTATAGGGGGCAGAGCCAGAACTAGTATCTACATGTCTTCTGGTCCATTGCCCTTGGATAAGTAAACCTTTTTAAATATTAACGTAGGAATTTAATATGATAGTAGATATCATTTTGACCCATTGAACATAAGAGAAAACCATATGATCTCGGATCTAAATGAGGAGTTTATATATTTAAATCTATTCTAGCCCGGCCGGGCGTGGCTTGGCAGTTGACCGTCAGCCTAGGATCCAGGAGATCGCAGTTCGATTCCCGGTCAGGGCACATGCCCGGGTTGCAGGCTCCATCCCCATTCAGGGGCGTGCAGGAGGCAGCTGATCAGTGACTCTCATCATTGATGTTTCTCTCTCTCTCTCCCACTCCCTTCCTCTCTCTGAAATCAATAAAGATATATTAAAAATCTAGTTATCTAAAAAGCCATTTTGAGGGGAATTACAAGGGTGATACTGTTCCTATTGTCTTGGTTTCAAATTCAAGCACTTAATCTTTCATATGTCTGTTAAGAGAGTTGGGAAAGCAGCTACCGGTCACTCTACCAAAGTCACTTTAGTCATTTGTAAAAAAATTCAAAAGTATATTAGTTCCTCATATGGTTGGACACATTTAATTAAAGAAACAGTTAATAGGAGTAATTACTAATGCTAATATGAATCATTGATTTCTCCAATTAATTTTTTCTTTTTTAAAAAAATTTTTAATTGGATTTATTGGAGTGACATGGGTTAATAAAGTTATACAGGTTTCAGGTATACAATTCTACAGTACATCATCTATATATTGTATTTCCTACAATTAATTTTATTTTTTTTTAATCCTCACTGGAGGAAATTTTTTCCATTTATTTTTAGAGAGTGGAAGGGAGGGGAGAGGGAGAGAGAGAGAAAAACCTTGATGTAAGAGAGAAGCATCGATTGGTTGCCTCCCGCACGCGCTCCAACCAGGGCTGGGGATCGAACCTGCAACCCAGGTACATGCTCTTAACTGGGAATCGAGCCCGTGACCGTGGATGTGCAGGCCTGTGCTCTAACCACTGAGCCACAGTGGCTAGAGCTTTCCAATTTTTAATGTACATGCCAATTAAAGTAGCATGAACATTGTGTTTAGAATTTTTTTTTAAATCCTTTGTCTATGTAAGCAAATATTTTTTCTAATCATTGAACTTTTCTTCCATTTAAAGTTCACTGTTAGACAATTTAGGAAAGAGGTTTTGTTACAGCCTCTATCAAATTCCTTTGATAATGGCTTAGGCATATGGGGATTTAAATCTACCATTTTTTATATTACATTTAAAATGCTTTTTAAAAAAGAATCATTTCGGTTTCCATGCCATGAAATATTGATAATGATTTGGCTTTCTTTCTTCATTATATTTTTACAGAGAATGAGTAGCATACTTGAATAGTCTTCGGAAAATTTTCTGTAGGCAAACAAATTTGTTTATATCTTTAAAAAGCACAAATGGAATCATAACATACATTCTCTTAAGCAACTTGCTCTTTTCACCTAGATGTTTCTTGAACAACTTTCCATATTGGTACATGTACCTTTACCTTTTAAAAACAAATGCATAGTGTTCATTTGCCTTGTTTTGTTTAACTCTTTTATCTGAACACCTTTCCTATCAGTTACTTAATTGCACATATGCTTAGGTTTATAATTTTAAGAACAGTGAAATCCATTTTCAACTAGCATCTCTCCTAAAATTTCACTTAACTTTAAACTTCAACTTGTATGAGAAATGGCCCATGATTAGTAATGTTTCTGATAGGAAGCAAACATTTCAATTTGAAAAGAGGTAATTGATTTGAAGTTATTCATTAAATGGTAAATTTCTGATTGTATAAAATCTGTTTAATTTGATAAACCTTTATTGATTATTTGCTAACTTTGAGGTGTACTGTGAGGGTACATTAACAAAACCAAGACATTGTGTATGCTTTACACTTGATCTTAGCCAAAAGGCCGAGAAGTGATAGGTTGTCTCTGCTTTAAAGAAAATTTTAAAAATCAGCATGAAAGAAATGCTATTTAATTGTTATAGGATGTCTGGAAAGAAACCATCTGTGTTATAACTTGGCACTCTGAGTCATCAAAGATGTCATACTTTTTCATTTATAGACCTTACTGTGTTATGGTTTTGTTGTTGTTACCCTTAGCTCAAGAACAAAAATGAAAAGTATTACTAAATGTTACATTAGCACAAAGTGTTTCAGCTGTCCCACAGGTCTTCCCAAAAGGAAAATAATAGTTAACTTACTGATTTCTTACTGAGTTTCTTACTCTTTTGTTCAGATTATCTTTCTTAATGCAGCAGCAACTGCAAAACTGATAGTGTTGTTTTCAGTTTCGAGGTGAGGAAATTAAGGCTTGGAGAGGTTATGTAACTTAACTAAGTTTATACACTTAGTTGGTGGTGAAGCTGGCCTTCAAACCAAATCTGTCTAACTTGAAAGCATGTACTCTTATTATACTGTATTGCCCCCTAAATGGAGATTAGAAATTCTAAGTACAAGAAACAAGGCAGAGGACCTGGGATTCCTAAAATTGAGTGGCATTTAGAATGCTTTATTTTGTTTTAAATAAAGCTGGATTTTAAAATATAGAATGATTTCATAGACAATACCATTGTGTGATATAACTGTTAAGATTGTATAATATAACCAGTTTAGCTCATGGCTTGTAAAGTTGTAAATTCCTCAAACTTACAGAAAGCTATAAAGTTTACAAAGGTCTTTCTCATACATATTTAGTATCTGAAGAAGCTGAAGCTTAGACAGTTTGTGATTACCCAAGGGTACATGGCCGATACATGTTAGAGCTAGAACTTTACCCAGTAGTTTTCAAATTGTATTCCAAGGAGCCCTCAGAAGATTTGCAGAGGTGGTCTGGGGCTACCATGTGGCTGAGTGAGTACAGAAAGGCCAGATAGACAGCACTTCCAATCAGTTTCACTACTTTTATCTCTTTTATATATTAGTCTGCAATGTAAGATTTAATTTAAAGAGAGGCTGTTACTGCTTTTTAAAAAATGTTTCAGCCCAGCCGGGCGTGGCTCAGCGGTTGAGCATCGACCTAGGATCCGGGAGATCAGGGTTGAATTCCCGGTCAGGGCACATGCCCCGGTTGCGGGCTGCAGCCAGTCAATGACTCTCTCATCGTTGATGTTTCTACCTCTCTCTCTCTGTCTCCTTTCCTCTCTCTGAAATCAATAAAGATATGTTAAAAAAAAAAAATGTTTCGAAAACACTGTACTATACCATGGTGCCTTTTTACCTGTGACAATAACTAAGTCCTGTCAGGGATCTAAAAGGGAATGCAATAAGAAATACAGATTTACCTGAAGGAAGTGATTATAGTTCACTTGTAGAAAGAAAAGTAACGTTTTAAAAAATCAAAGAATTAAGTCCTGGCCAGTGTGGCTCAATGTTTAGAGTGGAGACCTTGCACCGGAGGGTCATGGGTTAGATTCCCAATCGAGGGCACGTACCTGGGTTGCAGGTTCGATCTCCGACCTGGTTGGGGTGCATGCGGGAGGCAACCAGTCGATGTATTTCTTTCACATCAATATTTCGCTTGCTCTCCCTTTTCCACTCTCCCCCTCCTTCACTCCCTCCCTTCTACTCTTTCTAAAACTCAATGGAAAAAATATCCTCAGGTGAGGATTAAAAACAACAAAAAAATCAAAAGAAGTAAGGTATTGAATGTTTTTGCCATAGTATAGTAGCCCCCCCTTATTTGTGGTTTTGCTTTCTGCAATTTCAGTTACCCGTGATCAACCGCGGTCTGAAAATAGTAAATTTCCCAAACATCAACATTTTATCAAGGCTTGATGAGCTAGGATCACCCAAAGCAGATGATTCTCCTTCTGATGTACGTCAGAAGGTCAATAGTAGCCTAACACTACATCACAATGCCTATGTCATTCACCTCATTTCATCTCATCACGTAAGCACTTTATTATCTCACATCATCACAAGAAGGATAAGCACAGTACAATATTTTGAGAGCCCAACCACATTCATATGTTTTATTATAATAAATTGTAATTGTTCTATTTTATTATTAGTTATTGTTACTCTCTTACTGTGCCTAGTTTATAAATTAAACTTTATCATAGGATGCATGTATAGGAACAACATACTGTATATTGCGTTCGGTACTATACACATTTCAGGCATCCACTGGGAGTCTTGAAACATCTCCCTGGTGGATAAGGGGGGATTACTGTATATAGTTAAAAAACAGAGGATGGAGCATTCAGGTATGGTTTTAATGGAAAAAGTCAGACTAACTGGCCCATAAAGGATGGTTAGTAATAGGAGAGAATGAGGTGTGGAG